GGGGTTCTGAACCGAAGAGCCCACTGCACGGGCTGCCACTGAATGATAATATAAGCCCATTGAATCCCTAAAAGGGCAGGGTCCTCCTGTCAGAACACAGGGGTGGTTCTGCTTATCTCTTTAAATGAATCAGTACTTAAAAGATTTAGTGTTATTACTACAATACTACTATCTTGTGCCAACCTTCTTGTACGTTGCACTATATGCTAATTTAATACTACCTGCACTCAGTTTTCAGATACATTCAAGGGTCACTTTGCATTTCACTTTGTTTATACATTTACTCTTAATTTATCTTGCTTTAGTATTTACGTTTGCACTTATTCACATTCGGCACTTCGTTTAACTAATGCTTTGTGTCATTTGTTTCATATGATCTCTCCATGTTGCCCTGTTCCTTGCTATTCTTGACCATTCTTAAAATATCGGCCCATCTTTGTTTAGGACGTCTTTTCCCCTATCGTGGGCCCCAGGTTATCAACACATACTGTAGATAAATTGTGTAGTTCTTTACCTACGAAAATGAGCTTTCTATAACTCAGGACAGAAACTTGTTTTCAGATGTTGCTAAGTGTGCTATGTTGGTACTTTTACAATACATTCTTGAATGATGAATAAAAGGGTGAAACAGGGATCTGAAACTCGGAAAAAACGTGTGCAGATTACACTTTTCCCCCATACATCTGATTCAGTTTTCCTGCATTTTCACGGAAATAAATCCATAAATCGCATTCAACTTCCGCGAATACATTTCAAGTAAAAACATGACAAGAAGCGACATACACATGTCAATAGTTGCTCAGATAATTTTCTATTTTTCAATAATGAATTTAAAATATAGAGAACCTGGGACTCTTAGTTGTTAAAATTCAATGCGGTGAGAACTTACCTAAGGTTATAAGAGAAATCTTCCGGGCTAGTAGGCCGTGGTCTAGTTGGCATTGAATGGCCATTTAAAGGCCACGGCCCAGATTTCTCCAGTACGTCCGGAAGATATTTCTTATATTGACTCCGGCCGTGAAAGCCTACGACGTTACCTGTGGTTGTTGCTGGTAGATCATCACAAATAACTGTATAAATAGGGTGGAAATAAAATTTGCGAACAATTTGCTAAGATTTTATTACTTTAATTGTGATAATACATTTTATTGATAAAATTTCCAAATCAGACAAGCAGCAACATTCTGACCAGCAATCTCTCCATAACCAGCTTTAGATACTTTTTTAAATAATGATCACTCTGTGTAAGCTTACCAATGCGTAATTCTAATCTGAATATGTCAATAATGTGGATTTATAATCCTAAATAATTCAAACAACGTAGGTTGTAATAACATGTATACAACACCCCATATAGTAATATTTTAAACTGACGAGCAATGAAAGCTGCCCATTTGTACCTGAAAATGGAGACACTATCTCTGAAACTTTGTGTAAATTTGAAATAAATAAATCACAATTTGTTTTATCATTTTTTATTTAATGTTATTGTCTCGGAAGAACAAGTAAAAAACAAATCTTATTGTCATAAACTTGGAAACTATACAAAATAATTTCAAGGAACTTTGGAATAATAAGTACGAGATATGTATAAGAATTACTTTATTAAAATACGCTGGTGACATTAACACACTTTTACAAAAATATGCCTGAGGAACGTTACCACAAAAAATTATCACAGAGTAGCACAACCATGACCTATTATTTTAACCCACCACCAATAGTAACCAAATTCTAACATTTTTCTATTTTTCTGTTTCGCATTTACCGATTCACAATAACCGAAACGGTATCATTTTAAGTCAATGTAACTCACCCAGACAATTCTATAAACACGTCCCAAACACTTATTCTAAAAATTGATATTCTATAAAACACAGGTGGGTAGACGAAGAATTAAGTAGAAAACAATGAGATCCCGTTGAATATAAAAATACTTTTATAGATTTGACCTAAGAGACAGCCACACAAAAAAACGCGTTTGGAGTGAATGTCAAAATCTTTCACAGACTTTGTCACCGGCATCGCTCGGGGCACCGAATCGAAGTGGATGCACAGTCACCCACAATTACGAAGATGCACATTTGTGGTCATTCGCACCTCCAATTCCATCAAGTTGCCGAACTCCAGGCTTAACCCTTTAACTGCTCCAGACAAGTTGATACGCAAAATATTTCCGTGCGTGGTAGCCTCTGGACGAGTTATTGCGCTCAGTTTGTTTGTCACTGGGAGGCTCTGGATGAGATCGTACGCGAAACCCCGGGAGCCTCTAAACGAGTTCGTTCGTGCAGTACTTTCGACTATCGCTAGGACTTACAACTGCGATTTCTTGTGCGATATCTAAGAGCGAGCGAGCTCAGCTCATAACGGAGCCTGCAGCGAGAAGCTTGACGCACGAGGCTTCGCTCACAGCCCGTAGCCGTTTAAGGCTTAAGGCTGTTCCACAAGAGCCTGCGATCGAGACATGCAATGCGAAGGTGAGGACGGGAACGGGAACGCGAGGACGAGGACGGCAACGCGAAGGCGAGATCGGGAAGGTACGTTCGCTTCCTAATAAACGCCTACGAGAAAAGGAAGAGCGGTATGTACCCGTAGCGGCGTAAAGAGAACTTCAGGAAACAGTTGCCGAAACCAAAGCACTTCCAGCTAAGCTACTCTTCACTCTTTGCTTTGCCATCTGTATGTTGTGTCTGCGTGTGCTGCTATGAATAAAGAATACTTAAATGAAAGAATATTAATAAAAAACAAATACTAGTACGAACTTACTGAAAATACAACTAAATTTTTGTCAATAAACAAACAGCTCCAATGTACTTTAACGGAACATTAAAAAATATTTTTGGGGAAATTTTAATTCTAAGAATTAATATGAATAGAAAAACAATTATACTGTAATTATTGAAAAGAATAATCAAATCAACAATGACTAACAAAATCATAATCAAACGCTCATCACGCAAATCCATGCTTTAACCTCAATATTGCACTACACTCTCAATTCCGCTCCAGACCAGATCGCGTGCATGCCGCGCGCTAGATCACCTGGAAAGCTTGGCTGCCATTTGCTCTACTTTTGTATTGATCGAGAGACTTCCCGTTCCCGGCCGAGATAAATGTTGACCGTCCTCCCCGTTCCCGTCAAGCTCCGCGTTCTCGTCGTGCTGTGAACGCCTATCTGCGGTGTCCGTCTTTCAACTTTCTTTACGTTCCCGTTCGCGAAGACGGTCCTGTTCCCGAGCTATTGTGCAGCGGCCTCTAGCAACAACCTGGCGATACCTGATCGTCCGTCTAAGAGATTAATATTTTTTTTATTGGAAGTTGCCTTCTCCTCCACGCCGCAGGAGCTGCCTGGCGATGCCTGCTCGTCCGCCGGCGAGTGCGTAGGCCAGTGGCGTGCTGCCAGAGTGGTTGCGAACCCCGGACCTCGCGCCGTTCGCCAGCAGCTGCGACGTCACCTTCCCGCGCCCTCCGATCGCCGCGTAGTGCAACGCCGAGTCTCCCTCTGCGTCCCGCGCCGCGACGTCAGCTCCCGCCCGCAGCAAGAGGCTGACCATCTTCTTGTGGCCCTCCAAAGCCGCGGCCATAAGCGGGGTGACGCAGCATTCGTTCGCAGCATTGACGTCGGCACCGTGTTCCAACAGCAACAGCGCGATTTTGCGATGGCCTTTGAGGGAGGCAAAGTGCAGGGCAGTGTTTTTGTCTCTGTCGCGAGCTAGGACCTCTGCATGGCACTGCAGCAATTGTCGGCTAGTGGTTATATTTCCACTATGAGCGGCGCACATGAGGGGCGTGATTCCGAATTTGTTTCGCGTATTAACTCGCGCAGCGTTGCCGATCAACAGAATGACTATCTCTTGGTGATTTTTGTGACAAGCCCAAAGCAAAGCGCTATTTCCGTCCGCCTCGCGCGCCAGAACGTTCGCTCCTTGCTGCAAGAGGAGCTGGCTCGAGGCCACATTGCCACTCGCAATGGCACACATCAACGGCGTGATTCCGATCGCATTCGAAGCGTTGACCTGGGCTCCGTTGCTAAGCAGCAACATCACTACCACGTGATGGTTTTTAAGCGCGGCGAAATGCAAGGAAGTATTCTTTCGGTCATCCCGAGCCAGAACATCTGCACCTTTGTCCAGAAGTAGCTCCGCGATACGCACGTTTCCTTCAGAGGCTGCTTTCATCAGAGCGGTGAACCCACGCGCGTTTTTTATATTCGCGACATCGCAGTGGTCCAGTAGCTCGCTCGCCACCGGGTAGCGATCTTTGAGAATCACAAGATCCACGGCGGTTTTCCCTTGTTTACTAGAAGTGAAGACGTCGGCACCTTTGTGCAGCAGCAGTCGCACGATCTCCACGTGGCCCTCCTCCACCGCGCAAAGTAACGGCGTCTTCCCGTCGTTGGTGCGAGCGTCCACGTCTGCCCCGCTCTCGAGCAACAGCTGCGCGATATCGAGCTTCCCGCATATCGACGCCACGTGCAACGCGGTGTTGCCGAGCACGTTGCGTTCCGACACGTGCGCGCCCTCCCGCACCAACAGCCGCGCCGTCTCCACGTTCCCGCAGTGCGCCGTCAACAGGAGCGGAGTGTTCTGGTTGATGCTGCGCTCGTTCACCGCCGCGCCCGCTTGGATGAGGAGCTTGGCGACGTGGTGGCGGCCCTTGAAGGAAGCCACGTGGAGCGCGGAGTAGCCGCGCCCGTTTATCGCGCACGTGTCCGCCCCGTGCTCCAGCAGAAGCTGCGTCGTCTTGGCGTCGCCGCATTCCGCGGCCGTTATCAACGGGGTGTTGCCCTTCGCGTTGACGGCGTTCACGCGAGCGCCCCTTTCCAGGAAGAGGCTGGCCAGGGCGTGGTGGCCGTTGAGCACGGCGGAATGCAGGGCGGTGCCGCGGTCCGCGTTCTGCGCCAACGCGTCCGCGCCGCGCTGGAGCAGCAGCCTGGCGGTGTGCGCGGCGCCGGCCTCGCCCGCCCACATCAACGGCGTGCTCCCCTTGGCGTTGCGCGCGTCCACGCGCGCCCCGTGCTCCAGCAGCAGAGCGGCGACCGCGCCGCGGTCCTTGCCGGCCGCGAGGTGCAGGGCGGTGTTCCCGTCCGAGTTGGAAGCGCACACGTCCGCCCCCCTCTCGATCAGAAGCCCTGCGATCTGCGCGTTGCCGCTTTCCGCCGCCATCATCAGCGGCGTGCTTCTTCGTACGTTTCGCCCGTTCGCGTCGGCGCCCTTCTCAAGCAACAGTTTGGAGAGTTCGTAATGCCCTTTCAAGGCCGCGAAGTGGAGCGCGGTGTTTCTGTCTGAATCGCAAGCCGAGACGTTCACACGGTTCTCGAGAAGTATTAGTGTATTTTCCACACTTCCAGCTTCTGCTGCCCAAATCAGGGGTGTAGTCCCTTTGTGGTTGGGCGCGTTCACGTTTGCACCGTTCTCAATCAGCACGCGACTAACGTCCGGATGACGCTTGGAAGCAAAATGCAAGGCGGTGATTTTGGTAGCACTGCACGCCGAGACGTTCGCGCCACTGTTTACAAGAAGCCGCACGACCTGCTGTCTCCCTGCATCCGCGGCAGACATTAGCGCTGTTAGACCTTGGTCGTTTGCGGCATTCACTTCTGCGCCTTTCTCAAGCAACAACTCCACCACATCCCGTTGACCTTTCGTCGAAGCAAAGTGCAAGGCTGTGAGTCCCAATTTGTTGCGAATCAAAACATCTGCTCCGTTCTGTAGAAGCAATCTTGCAGTATGGACTTGGCCTCCCTCGCTAGCCCACATTAAAGGGGTGCTTCCCTTCTGGTTACGTGCGTTGACGTTGGCGCCCCTCTCAATCAACACTTTCACAGCTTCTCGTCGCCCTGTGAAAGACGCGAAGTACAAAGGCGTGTTTTTGCCTTCGTTGAGTATGTCGACGTCCGCTCCGCTTTGCAGGAGAAGCTCGACCTCTTCCACGTTGCCTTTCTGAGCCGCACTCACCAGAGGCGCGTTTCCTTTGCCGTTTTGTGCATTCACATCAGCACCACCTTCCAGTAAAAGTTTCGCTGCCTCGTGATGCTCGTTTATTACAGCGCAATGCAAAGCGGTGTTTCTCTCGTGGTTGCAAGCCATAACATCCGCTTGGTTTTGAAGAAGCAATTTCAGAGTCTCCACCTTGCCACTCTCTGCTGTCCAAATCAACGGGGTGCTTCCTTTGTCGTTCCGGGCGTTAACGTCAGCTCCTTTTTCGATTAACACTCTCGCGACTTCGAGGTGACCTTTAGTCGAGGCAAAATGCAAAGCCGTGTTTCTGTTGACATCGTAAGCACATGGGTCAGCACCGTTGTGAAGAAGCTGTAAGAGAGTCTCCAAATCGCCACTGTTTGCAGCCATTATGAGCGGGGTATTTCGTCTTGTGGTTTTTGCATTGGGTTCAGCACCTTTCTCAACGAGAAGTTTTGCTACTTTGTTATGGCCTTTCACCGTTGCCAAATGCAGAGCGGTATTCTTACTTTCACTGCAAATCAAAACGTCAGCGTCACATTCCAACAGAAGGGATGTGGTCTCTATGTTCCCCAACTCCGCCGCCCACATTAAGGGAGTGGTTCCTTTGTGATTCCGCGCGTTCACATCTGCCCCATTCTTAATTAAGAGTTGTGTAATATCACGATGATTTTTCGAAGCGAAGTGCAGCGAGGTGCTCTTTTCATTATTGTAAGCAGAAATGTCAGCACCTTTGTCAAGAAGCAACCGTACGGTCTGCAAACTCCCGCCGTCAGCAGCCAGCATCAAAGGAGAATTCCCTTTGCCGTTTTGCGCGTTGGGGTTCGCCCCATTCGTAAGTAGTACCTCCGCTATTTCCACGTCGCCGTTCAACGAGGCGAGATGCAGGGCGGTGTTTCTATCCGCGTTGCAAGCCCGCACATCCGCTCCTTCCCGCAGGAGCAGCCGCGTCGTGTCGACGCTCCCGCACTCCACGGCCAACATCAAGGGCGTGCTGCCCTTCCGGCTCCGCGCATTCACGTCGGCGCCCTTCGCCAGCAGCATCCTCGCGAGGGCGGCGTCCCCTCGCGTCGACGCCGCGTGCAGCGGCGAGATCGCGGCGCTCCCCTCGCCGGCCGACGCGCTGGCCCCCATCTCCAGCAGCAGCCGCGCGGTCTCCGCAGCGCCGCCGGCGCACGCGCCGACCAGCGCCGTGCTGCCGAGGCTGTTCCGCGCGTTCACGTCCGCGCCGCGAGCCACCAACAGCTCGATCAGCCGGTGGAGATCGGCAGTCGACCCGCGGTACGAGCCCGTCATGGCGTCCACGCTCACCCCGTGGGCGGCCGACTGCTGCTCCAGCGCCGCCCGGAGCTTCGCGGCGTTGCGCTCCTGCGCCTGGAAGAGCGTCTGCATGGACTCCGCGGCGCCGGACGTAGTGGCCATGACCAACGGGGTGTTTCCCTTCCGATTGCGGGCGTTCACGTCGGCGCCTGCGCCCACCAACAGCGTCGCGACGGCCAGGCTGCCTCTAAAGCAAGCCAAGTGCAACGGCGTGTTTTCGTCGCCTGTGCTCACGGAGACGCCCGCTCCGTGTTGAAGAAGTAGCCGCGTTACATCCTCGCTTCCTGACAACACGGCGCATATTAACGGTGTGATACCCGATTTGCTCCGAGCATTCGCATCGGCTCCCAACGCTAGCAACTGCTTCGCCATCCCGCACTGTCCTTTCAGACATGCGACGTTCAGGGCGCTGTTTTTGGGCGAATCGCACTTTAGAATGGCTAGTGAATCGGGAGGGATTCGTGACTTCGTTTCCTGCACCTTCTCGGTTGCCACGTATGTTCGATTTTCCTTTCCCACTGCATTTTCTCCTTGGTCACGTGGTTGGTCCTGTGGACATGGTGCGTCAGCGAGATGAAGTATTTGGTAAATCCCCGCCGGCGTCTGGGTCCCGTTCTGATCTTCTACCTCAGGCTCAATCTGATGGTGCGGGTGTTGTAGAAGGCAGCCCACGATCTGAAATTTTAAATAAGTAAAATACATTTTAATATACTACAAAAAATCCAAAAAAGCAAAATATGTGCATGCATATAATTATTTTTTCATAACTGTCCACGCGAGAAGAATTCTCTGCGAGAAATCGTGCAGTTTTTGCCAAGCAGGGTAGGTTTTACAATGTACTCGTATCAATACGTGAGGGCCCGACGCTGCGTCCGTGAGAAATGCCGAGCAACGTCTGCCAGTTAAATTCGTACGCAAAGCGACGCGCCCAGTTGTTGGACCCCGCTGAGGCCAAGGCGTTAATTCAACGAATATTTTTCCCCAAACGACATACACTGAAATATTTATTTTGTTATTGTATTTTTGACTACATTTTAAATGTATCATAGGATTTTTAAGAAATTTTAATTTTTGTTGTAAATATATTTTAATGCATAGAATATTTACACTTACATTTTTTATTATCGTGTCCATAATTTGTTTAAATAATACGATTTAATAAAAAGTCTACGAAAAAAGTTCTAATTTGACTTGGTGGAGAATGCCTAAAGTTTCAAGACTTTAGTTCTAATAGTTTAGGAAATAATGTTCGTTATATACCAAAAACCAAACTTGCGGAAATCAAGCTTGAAAGTTTGCCATGCATTTTTGGTACATTCTAGATGCATGTGATGGATTTTCTGAGTTACGGTATATTTACTCTTCTGGTTTCTCTTTCACTGGTGTCAAGAGTGTCTCAGGCTTGTTACTCATACTCCTCTAGTTTAAGTAAAGCTTAGTAAAGTAAAAATCTTTGGAGATAATTTCACATTGGCAACCCTGCATAGCATATTATTTAATTAAAAAAAACAACTTAGAAAAAGCGAACATATAAAATGAATACATTATTGAAAAGGCGGAAATATTGAAGATTAATAATTGACGAAAAGTGAAAATCGATACTTTTTTAATTTTTGGACCCCTTAAATTTCGACATTTAAATGATGAAACGCGCTTAACGAAGCACTATCCCCGTTCGCACGACTGCGGCTGTCAACGGATCGGGATCGCGCCTCAACCGATCTCTGTGCCCCAAGAGCGCCCGCAGTCCGCGAAAGCATCTTTCTCCCGAATGACGGCTTCGGGTGAGCGGACGTGTTTTCATCTTTCACCGCGGCGAACGCCGACTTGTCAAGGTTTTTGCCGTGCGCGTGATGAGGCGCAGTTGCAGACGCAAATTGTAATTTATGTATGTGTGTTATTGGTTCAGGATGAACTAAAATTGTTATATTTTATAACACTACAAAATATTGTACTATAATGTTAAAAATATCTTCTCTTAACGGGGCTTGGTTAGTTAACCTGACTTCAATATATTAATTATGGTAGTTAAGGATTCTCCATATTTTAGATGACACGCCAACATTCAGAAGAGGATCGAAAAACTTGTGTGCTATATCAAAAAGATTCTACCTCGAACATATGCATCCTTTCTGATTGGCTCCAGTACTAAACAGAATTTTAATGACCAAAAATTGTTTACTATTCTGGAATACAGAGGGCGAGTCATTGGAAGAACACACAAAGGTGTTCCTAAAAATATTAGTAATAATTTCTTTGATTTGCACTCAGAAACATAGATTATAGAAGAGTGTATTTATTGTACCTTGTTTAATTTCGACTGTATATCAACGGAATGTTGAACGTATTACTAAGAATCGAAGTGTCGTTGAAGGGTACTCTTCATTTGTGTAGAGCCACTGCAATTCTAATGGGCGGCTGGCGAGGCTTAGCGAGATCACAGGGCCACGCACTATCATTCCCCAAATTCTATCAATTCAATAATTTGCGATTTTTTGTGATTTGCGTCCCAAAACATTATTTTTTATTGGCAATAGTAAAAAATATCCTTAGCAGTTAGGTTCATTTTAAGTACAACCTTTTGGACGTTATAGGAGAAGAGAAATAATCAAGAAATTGCAGTGCAGAAACGCTTCCGCAGCATATTGCATCCAATTGCGTACAAGACAATCGTATGTTTTTCACTTGAACTGACTCGTCTGCATAGAAAAGAATTAAATAGGGAGAATTCGTTGATAAGTAACTTTTCTAGACAATTTTGCAGGTGTTTCTGAAAAAAATATTTTTCAGATTTTCTATTAATTTTTGACTTTCTTATCGATACTAGATTATGATCATTGCTGATAGATTAGATTATCTATATCTACGAAGTGAAATGTGTTAAACTGTCAGTACAAGTTCCATACGAGTTGCTCCAAGACGCCATCAGAGACTGCTGGTACAGACATGAATTGGGGCCCTAGTGACCATTACGGGAACATATCGAAATGGATAGATAATCCCCAAAATGCGAATGAACAATGCTTCCGCTAGAGGCGCTAGAGTCACACTGTACACTATTTTCATACAATGTCAAAATTTGTCATACGAATCAGAGAAGATTGAACTATGATTTCTGAACATCCAAACTGAACGGAAACTTAAACGCAACTGCGTCAGAGCATAAAACGGTCTTAATACCTGCTTGAGCAATGTTTCAATGGCTTTCGCATTTCTTCTTCTACATGGCAATCCTCCTCTTCTCCTAGTCCTATGACTAGACTATGGCCTATGTCTGTCCAAGAAATTGTTATCAAAGGGAAAATGTAGCACATTCAAATCTCTCAACTTTCTCTCGCAAGGGATCCTGTCAATATAATAATTTTGTTCCTCAACATCAGCTTAACGAATATTAAGAAGCTTAAATACTATAAACAAGCCTCTCATTGGAACAAAGTTTGTTTTTAATTGAGAGCATTGATATTGGCGTATTTCTGAATCAGAAGACGAACTGTCATCCCCGCTATAGTCTCAATTGGCAGATGCATCTACCATTAAGCCATTTCTATAGAGCAAATTCATGCCTCATCATTACCATTTTGTAGGACAAACTGATCATTCTCGTTTTAAAAGACTTCGAAAGGGTGTTTTTCTTTAAAGAATAGTACATTGACATAACCACCACTTTCTCTCTTCCGCCTCTACACTCTGATGTGAATTACAACTTAACAAGAGAGTACTTCGCTTCAGGTCCTGTGCATTGAAACTTTTTTCTTTTTCACGAAGGAGAATTTCTACTTCTAGGTGACCGTAACATACCGCAAAAAGTAAAGCGTTTCGTATATTGCAAAGGTCTACTGCAGTGCTTCCGATAGCAGGAGACGCACAAATTGCAGTCTGCCGTGCTTCGCAGCTTCCATCAACGGGGTGAAGCCTATCAAAGAGCGTGCATCAACATCAGCGCCACTTTCCACTAACAGTTTGGCCACATCGCAATGGTCTCTACACGAGGCGAAATGCAAGGCGGTGTTCTTTTCTTGGTCAGACGCGACCACGTCCGCCCCTGCTTGAATCAGTAATCTGGCACACTCCGCACTTCCAACTTCTGCCGCGTACATAAGCGGTGTCGTGCCGGAGCAGTTTGTAGCATTCGCGTCAGCGCCGTGTTCAACTAAAACTCGTGCTATATGATATTTAGAGTGAAGAGAGGCCAGATGCAACGCAGTGCCTTCCCGTAAGCAACGGGCGTTCACGTGCGCACCCTTCTCCAGAAGAAGCTGAACGGTTTCCACATTCCCGTTTTCGGCGGCCCTTATTAGCGGAGTTCGTCCTACGTCGTCGTTCGCGTCTATCTCGGCGCCTCCGTCAATCACGAACTTCGTGAACTCGCGATGACCTTGCAACGATGCGAAGTGCAAGGGTGTCCTTCCCCTTCCGTCACAGTCCAAGACCTCCGCTCCGCCGCGTTGCAGAAGACGAGCAAGCTCTACGTCGCCGACCCGGGCTGCCTCCAGGAAGGGCGTGTTCCCGGAAGCGTTGCGAGCATTCACCGGGCCACCGTTTTCAACCAGCAGTTTCGCCACCCCGATCTCGCGAGCGGCCGAGGCGAAATGCAAGGCGGTGTCCTTCCTCGTAGTGGTTGCCGAGACATCAGCGCCGTTCTGCAGAAGAATTGTCGCGGTCTCTACACTGCCTGCTCTTGCGGCGTCCATTAAAGGAGTCCAGCCTACGTAGTCACGTGCATTCACGTCTGCTCCTCTCTCAAGTAAAAGTTTTGCATTTTCGGAAGCACCTTTACTCGAAGCATAATGCAACGCTGTATATTTGAATTTACAGCTATCCAAGACGTCGGCATCTTTCTGCAGCAGAAGTAATACAGTTTCAATACTACCTGCTTCTGTTGCCATCATCAAAGGAGTAAGTCCTCTGTTGTTAAGTGCGTTAATTCCTGCTCCTCTTTCAAGTAAAAGTTTTACAATATGAAGATGACCTTTCAACGAAGCATAATGCAAAGCCGTGTTCCCTAGCTTATTGCTCCCCATGGCATCCGCGCCTTCCTGAAGAAGGAGCCTAGCAGTGTCAACGCTCCCACCTATTGACGCCGCCATTAACGGAGTCGTCCCCACTATGACGTCACGCGCGTTCACGTCGGCTCCTTTCTCAAGAAGAAGCGCAGCTACGTCGCGATGGCCTCCTAGGGATGCAAAATGCAAGGGTGTAACCACTTCATTCTCTGAAACTAGTGCACCGTTCTCCAAAAGAAACTCCACAGTTTTGAGCTTCCCTACGCCCGCAGCGATCAAAGGGGTAACCCCATAATTGTCATTCGCGTTTATCTCTGCACCTTTTTCAAGTAACAGTCTTATTATCTCGTGATGACCAGTCCTTAATGTATGATGTGTCTCCAAATTTGGGTTTCATGTCGAGAAATTGAGCGCTCCACTGTGAAAAAAAATGAAAAGCTCATAAGTGCGCAGATATGCGCAGCTGATCTTTTGTAATTCAAATAGCCAAAAGATTAAGGTTTAACGACAATGAAGTCACAAACGTCAACTACCGTAAACTCAATTTAAAAATCTACAGATATTTGTAAAATGGCGCGAAAGTAAAACTAAAATTACTTACTTTTTCAAAATCCACCCACGAACAATCACAGGCACTTTTTCCTTATTCTTAGGTACTAATAAAAAGGCAATATACTCAAAAACACAAATGTTTAATCACTGTCTTGATATGCGTTCCAGGGGATGCACACTGATCTCCAACAGGAGCTGTACTGAAATACAACTGATACGTGCAACTGAGACGTGCGGTGCTAGCACAAGATTGTGCATGTTTGAACTTTTTCTACTGCCGCTTCATGCGACGCAGAATAAGAACAATACCCATTTTGTATACTTTAAACATTCTATAATCAAACAAATACCCAAACTAACCAATATTAATACTTTTGGAAAATGGACTTCCGTCCGCCTAGATAGCCAAAATTACACACTATGAGCCGAGAGGAAATTATATGAGAGACCGTGATTAACGATTGTTAGGATCCTGATGTAAGGGAGATACGATAGTTATAAAGTTTTCTAAAATTAATAGAGTTCGAATACTGGTAAAGGAGTACCGACTTTAATAGACATCGTTTTTTAACAGAATGTGGAAGTTAAGATAATTTTCGGAAATTACGACTTGGATAAGGAGGCAAGATGGCATTTCGATAACTGAACCAAGTGAATAGTGGTGATGGAAGAATTATATTGTAATGGGACGGTCGCACATCGCGAGAATAAGCCCTATCACCCATGCCTCCTTTTAAACAGTAATGAATATAATATTGGCATGTGCGTTGGTGTTTTTTGCATTTTGTTTCGAGCATTATTACTCTTAGCAAAGAAGCTATGGTAAAAACTCGTGAAGTGTAAACATGACGAGTACAAGGGAGCTCCAATATAATATTACAAAGTAAATAAATTTCGAATTATTATAAATGATCTTATACTGCACAAAAATCTTCGAATGCAAACAATTGCAGTGCAAGTATTTCGAAAGAGAATTCCAAATTTAAATCACCTGAACAAGAAAATCGCAACCTGAATACCTGTTGGGCAGGTTCCATTGACCTACAAATGTAAATGTTTGTGAGACCTTTATGATATGCATTTTTCGCATAGAATTACGTAGTGTAACGTATTAGCCAGCGTGCCTCATGGCATCTATTTGGGGACGCTTGGTTGCGGATTAGTCTCGCCACAGTAAGAAGGTTTTTCGTAAAAGGCAAGAACGCGGAGACGGGAACACAGGCTTTGGGTGTCTTCCGGCTATAGAAAGCTTTTCACTGTATAACAAGCGAGGGGGGCCGGCGGGCGCCGGGCGCCGCGCGCGCCCGCGCGCGCCGGGGGGCGGGCCGGGGCGGGCGGCGGCGGGCCGCGCGCCGGGGGCGGGGCGGGGCGGCCGCCGGGGGCGCGGGGCGCGGCCGGGCGCGGGCGCCGCCGCGGGGCGGGCCGGCGCGGCGGCCGGCCGCGGGCGGCGGCGCCGGGCGCGGCCCCGGGCCCGCCGCGCCGGGGCCCGCGGCGGGGGCGGCCGGGGGGCCGCGGGGGCCGGGGCGCGGGCCCTGGCGTGACGTGTACGTCACGTGGGCCTCGCCTAATATAACAGAGTATACGAGGCCAGTAGGCGGGTTCTGGAGACGGTGGGAGAACCTCGTGCGTGTGCACAAAACTTGGCGCCAAGACGGTGCAATTGCGATCGCAGGCTCGCGAGGCTGGAGTCATTAGTTGACGAAGCCTGCGGACTTTATGTCCTTGGGTGACTGCGGTCACGGGGAGCGATGCTGTGTGCGTGCTCCGAGGTGAACAGTGGTTGAGTGCCACGATTCACGCCGATTCTCATCGGATAAGATCGCTCCTGCGATCGAGGCAACCAGCCGTTGGTGCGCCAGAACGGACTTTGTGTCCAGCGTGACATCCGGTCACGGAAGCTAGGCTTTGTGCGCGCTTCACAAGTAGGAGTGGCGAATGCCACAATCAAAACCATCTTCAATCGGGTTTTGGATCTCTCCGCGATCAGGGATAGTAGGTCTATCAGAGCTAGGTTTAAGTAGATTATTAAGTGTATTATATTTGTTTTGTTTTCTTGTTAATAAATATATTTGTTAACGAAAGCTCTGTGTCTGTGGTCGCTGTGAGTATCCATGACGTCACAGTAGCTTAATGTAGATTATTGATTTGAAAGCATATTTTAACAAGTTAAGGGACTAAAATTTAATATGCCGATTCGTTCTATTGTTTAGACTGTAAAAGACTAAAAATAGAGGGCACTACAAACAATCTTCTGTGATTAAATACTGTGTTTATGATCAACATGTTGCCGATATTGCTTAAATTTATAATCGGGAATTTTCTTCTAAGCTAGTGTAAAAGCCAGATATAGATAAATCAATTAAATTAATGAAGCCATTAACTCTTCGTTCGGCGAGACTCAGGTAGCGAAGCCTATTCTCGCCTGACTACGCAATTTTGCATACGCTCCATTAACACGCCTGGCCAGAGATAGGGAGATATTACTCGAGACTACGAAAGCAGGCGTTTTAATTTGCCTAGAAGTTCATTTATTCTGAGGTCTTTTACAGCGCAGTATATCGCAACATGGGACACCTGGCATTTTATTTCTTCCAGAGAAGAAGTACGAAGGACTTTTTCCCTTTACAAACCCACGGATTTGATCCATCGATCGGATTGAACCGTCCAACAGGAATAAAAGTTAGGAAGCAAACAGTTCATCTATCCGAAACCGAAAAAAAGGGAATAAGTAAATACGGCCACAGTCTCAAGCATGCAAGGAGTAAATGAGGCGCGTTGCCGTCACTCACCCGCTCAGCCCTAGGCCGCCTCCAGCAGCGCTTCCCCCGGGTCGCGCAGGCCACCAGGTGCTTGTCGCAAGGCGGCCCGCCGCCAGGCAGGCGCTCGCCACGTCAAGTGGCGCCCGCGGCCGCGTGGCGAAGCGCGGCCATCCCAGCAGCGCGTCCGGCGCGCGCACATCGGCACCCGCGCCAGCAAGCGCCCCACGGCGGCCGCCGCGCCCCAGCCCGCCCACGTGCAGTGCGCCGCGCCCCACGCGTCCACGCCAACACACAGGCCACGCCACCCCCTCACACGTTGCTCTGGCCACGCGTCCACTCACAGCCTCCCACTATGCTCCTGCCACGCACTGACACTGCGGACACGCGCTCCTTCGCACACTTCGCCTGCCACGCGATCCACTCACCGCCTCCCACTATGCTCTGCCCCGCGCCGACACTGTGAACACGCGCTCCTCCTCACACTTCGCCCTGCCACGCCCCCACGCGTCCACTCACCGCCTCACACTATGCTCTGCCACACACTGACACTGCGGACACGCGCTCCTTCTCACACTTCGCCCTGCCACGCACCCACGCGTCCACTGCGCACAAAAGCGACGCTGACCACACGCTTTGCTCTGCCACGCCCCCACGGGACCACAGCGCTCTCTCGCACGCACGCACGCACATACACAGGCCGCCTCACACTTTGATCGGCTACACCCACAAGCGTCCACTACAACATAAAGGTCTCCACACCCTTTGCTCAATTTGACCCCATTAAGCTGCGCCCAGAAACCTCAAAGGACAAGCAATGCCACCACAAGCCATCTACCACCGCCTAAATCCTGTAGTGTCAAGCCTTGCGGCCAAGGGATCTCTGCAAAACCACAAACTATTGATCTTGCTCTGCTGCGATCACGCGCTGATTAGAAGCCTCTACGCTCACGACACTAAGCAACTATACACCTTAACCCCCACCTCCACCGCAATTTGCTTTGCTTCAAGCTCGTTTTGCAGCGTCTTTAAATCGCTAGGTATACTTGGTGTCCAATACAGGTTTTATATCTTTTCTCGAAGAGAAAGTGCCAAACTTAAAATATTATTTCACAACCTAGAGGTTTATTAATTTAATTAAATAAAATTAGTCTAACCACAGATATAAATATTGACTAGAAGTTATTAGCATTATAGTCCACTGGAATTTTGACTGCGGTCCAATATTCTGCCGGGTTCAAATCAGGTGCGTTCGCACAGCACAACGCAACAGGACTGCCTTAATTTGCATCCCATTTCGATATTTCACAAATTTGCTCATTTTTGAGGGTACCACAAAAATGTAAATTTTCTCTTCGTCATTAGTTAGAACTGTCCTGGGCTCTTCGATTCAATATAAGCTCAACTTTTTGAACTTTATTTATTTATTTACGTCTAAAACAGTTAAAAACTGTGTGACGTGCTATGGGGAGAAGTTTTATTTAAGTTCCATTACCTCCAGAAGCAAAACAATGGGCGATCTCAATATTTGCTGGAGGATCAGAGAAACTGGACGAAAACCAGATCGAGATTGGGGTCATTGACCCAGACACTGAAGTATAATACTTATTACATGTTCTTTAGAATTATACAATTCAAACGGTAAATAATAATCTGAATTTCGTTGTTAAAATTAATATTACTTTCCTTTTGGATGCTCGGTATAGTCTCTAATTGTATAGAAACAGTTATGCTGAAGAAAAGATTTTACTTGGGACTTAAACTTTTGTATCGAACTTAATCGTTTAATGTCATTTGGCAAGGTGTTGTAAAATAATGTACATTTATTGTGTGTGGATTGTTTTAATGAGCTGTTGATTCTGTCACTTGATGAATATGATTACTAATTGGTAATTATAGATATCAGCGTTTGCTGAAAATATATTCACGCTCTTAAGTAATTCATTTTTAACAAAAACCACTGATTCATATATGAAGAGACAAGGCAACGTTAAGATACCTAGACTAAATAAAGAGAGGCTTACAACGATCACGTGGGTGGGGTTTGCTTATTATTCGACTTTGTAAAGGAAGATAAATCGTCACGAAACTGCTTCTCAAAAACAAAGCGATTTTCAGCAAAATGTCGAAGGAATAATTATTTTTTATCTAATTGAGAATGTGAATAATAATATACTGGAGAAGTTTGATCACTTCAAAATAATTTAATGGCACCAGTAATAGGTAATGGTCGCGACGAACTAGTCATCACGAACTAACGCCATAAGGGCCATGAACACCGTCGAAACCTCGAAATCGATTCTCACATCCAACCAATAGTAAACTAGAATGTCTCACAGCGAATAGAAACTCTTATTTTGCTTAAGGTCATGTTAGACATTGTGAATACTTCTATCACTTATGGTAACGTGCGAATACGTCTATGCGGTATGTAGTCCATATACGACTATGCGTTATGCTAATGTTTACGTTTGCATTGTGAATGAACCCCGCAAGCCACAGCTCGGCACCGGATCACCCCATTCAGCGAGGGAGGATCACTGCCATCTCCCGTGATAAAAAGCATGGACTTCACTTGCGGTACCAATGACCATACAAGTGGACGCGCTCGTAATAACTAATCGACCGAGTATCCAAACGGAAAGTAATATTAATTTTAACAATGACATTTAATGTATTATATATCATTTGGATTGTATAATTGTAAAGAACCTGTAACAAGTACTGTAACTTCAGCTTCTGGGTCAATGACCCACCATCTCGATCAGGTTTACGTCCAGTTTCCCTGATCCTCGAGCAAATATTGAAATGGCCCATTGTTTTGCTTCTGGACATAAATGTAACTTCAAATCAACTTCTCCCCATAACACGTCAAACACAGTTTTTAACTGTTTTAGACGTAAATAAATAACTAAATAGACCACTCTGTGCGGAGGGGAAGGGTACCTTGCGCGAGGGCGGCGCGCGTGGCGGTGCGGCGCAGAGCGCATGCGCCGTCGCCGCTGTCGTGCGTGAGTAGCACGGCCTCGTGCAGCGGCCGCCCCTCCGCCAGCGCCTGCTCGGCGAACTCCCGCAGCAGCCCCCGCGCGCCGCCGCGGCCCTCCGCCAGGCAGCGCCACACGGCGCGCGCCACGGGCCCGCGCTCGCCCACCAGCCACCGCGCCGCGAAGAAGTCCACCTATGCACAACACACGACACAAAAACATACAGGTGTGATCCTCCTATTCGGCTCCCAGTAAACGGTTCTAAACACGTGAAATACCGAAAAATATAAAAGAAAGGAGTGGAAGTCACTATACATTGAACAGATAACAGCTTTCTTTGTTGTCAAAAAGCTAAGAAATTTGCGTTGTTTGAAATGCGCGGCTAGAATGGAAACGGGAAGTTCACGGGAAATCGAAGAGCTGTTGGTCATTCTTACAGAACATCGTGTAGTGTGATCGTTAAAACGATTTTTGTGACTATCAATGGCATGTAACCAATGTACTTTCTTATAAATAATTCTTGTGATATCTACGGAAATCAAAGAGACGAGGGCTTTGTGATTATTATTTGGAAATTGTATTTCGTATGTTTTGTTACAAACATTAAGGTAAGATCGATATCAGGATTTGACATTATAGACCAAAACAATATCCTTGAATATCAATAAACATGTAAGCAATATCCATGTAAATAACATACTGTTCAATCTCACACACATTGATGTGTAAACTCTCAAACTCACAAACATATCTCTGCCCGATACTCTTTAATGTGATATGTGGCTATTCTGGAGGCCGTTTGGCGGTCCAATATTCTGCCGGCTTCAAACCAGTTGCATTCGCATGGCCCAATACGATACAGGGCTGTCACAATTTGCATCCCAATGACGTCAATTCTCAAACTTGAGCATTTTTGTTGACATCACAAAAATATAAATTTTCTCTTCAGCACTAGTTGGAATTGTCCTTCGACTTACTACAGGCACAACCTTCTGGACTTTATAAAGGAAGATGAAACTGCTGCATAGGAAGAGCGTCATGACAATGCCGTGTATATCCCAAACTGCATAGTGAGTGTCATAAACTGCACGAGCATCACTCACGTTGCGCGCCCTAATAATTAGTGTGTCGCTTGCCACGCATCTTATTCGGGTGAATTACGTGTCAGTCCTCAGTTACACAGCGATCCTCCGCGGCGCCGCCTAGTTCAACGCACGCTGTCCGGGGCTCCGGCGAATCTCCAGGGCCACGGAATGACCGCGTGCCTGCTGCCGGCAAGAAACGCTCTCATACGTGTGTGTATATTATGCAAAACCTCCAATTATCAAACGACAATTAACAACAGATATCCTCTTCATTCATTCAGTAAAACGTCCGCAAACCTGGAGTAATACTTATCTGAGGTGCATCCTGCTTCATCTCCCAGTATATTTTTTAATATTATTTTTATATAATTGTAATGTATAATTTTAAGTTAGTATAAGATAGATTAAGACAATCATACATTTGCACAGTTCATATGTAAACTGAACAATGTAATGTCCACCAAAAATAAAATTACAATAATAAAAAAATAAACTTGTGTGTTTATCACGCAGGTGGGCGCACGCTCACAGTGCCGTCAATATCGCTTCTCTTTCAGCTTCCAATGCATACTGCTGTAAATTCCTTTTGGCAATACCATATTATCATCATCATCATCAGCAACAAGGTTTGGGCCTAGTGGCCCGTTCCGCTCTCAAGAGTCTCTTTCCATCTTGTGTGGGGTCTGCCTCTGGATCGTTTCCCTTTGGTTTGTATTCGGGATAGTCTTGGGAAGCCGTTCTTTGTGGCATTCTGGTTAGGTGTTCGAACCAATTCTTCCTCGTTGAGTCGATCTTCTCCAGTATGCTGGAGATCTGTAGTTCACCTCTGATGTCTTTCATTTCTCTTATGATCTAGTAGTGTATATACCTGCTAATGGTCTCAGGAATTCAATTTCTGCCGCTTCGATCTTTCTTCTGTCTGACCTATTGATTGTCCAGTTTTCGCATCCATAAGTTAGCATTGGGACTGCCATAGTTTTGTAAATATTTTAGTTGGGTGTCTTGTCTGGTCTTTTGTCCTTAGTGCTCTGCGTATAGTACCGCACAATTTCTGGAATTTTTGGATCTTTATGTTTATATCTTTTTTGTCGCTGTATTGAGATGTTAATCCTAAATAATTAAAGTTGTTTACTTGTTCAATACTTTTTTTCGTTTATCGCATACTTTAATCTGATATGGTTTTTCGCCTGGAATGCATTGTTTTGGTTTTAGAGGTTGATATCTTCAGTTATAAGTTTTTCCCTGTTAACTCGAGGTAATGGGCAGCTCTCTGTAGGTCGTCTTCTGAAGTACTAAAAATGGCCTGGTCATCTGCAAATAGAGTAGTGTTAAAATTTTATTGGTTATTTTAAATGTGTGGTTAGTTTACTTTGCCCTTCTTGAATAATATGATCGATATATTATTAAAAAGGGTCGGAGACATCGGCACTCTTGTTTGACTCTTGGTTTTGTATATTCAGTTAGGTTGTTCGCTGTTCTTGTTCGAATACTGATAGTGGTTTTAAAATATAGCTTTCGATGGTTTCTATGATGTGGTTAGGGTATCCACTATTACGCATAATACTCCATAACTTATTCCGAGAGACTTTGTCAAAGCCTTTTCAAAATCTATGAACAGGATATAGGTAGGAAGGTTATATTCGCGTCTTTTCTCGGTCGACCTTGTCGTTGGTGGTGGAGCTTGCGTACCCCAATGATCCTGAGAGCTAGGCCGGCGGTAGCGTAGCTACTGGTAGGGCCACCCTTGCCGGACAGGTCGAAGGAGAAGGGGTCAGACGAAGAGTACTCCAGAAGAGGACCTCAACATCAGAAAACCCTCACTGGGGGGACGCAGCTCAAAAGCCGTAGAAAAGGCAATGCGTCTAGGGAGAGCAACCCGAAAAATCTGCCCTGCAAGTTTGGAGGCAGTAAGGTGGCAGCCCACCACCAAACTATCCGCTGCGTGCGCCCGTAACGCAACCAGGGGAAACTTACCTTACTGACAACTCTCAAGAGAATAGCCGGACTGTAAATGAATACCATATTAATTATAATTTATTCTGGTATAGTTTCAATCCTTAACTTTTCACACTTCAATCCTAAAAGCTTACGGTGCATTCTCAAGCATTTTAAATAATTATTTGCAAGAGAATTCATTCTTAGTCTACTAATTTACCGTGTAATAATTTGCTCAGTTCGATTATGTTTCTCAATTCAAGTACTGCCTTCTAAATTACCCTGAATAATGATAATCCCCCTAGAATATTATGTGTTTCCATTTCAGAAAACCCTCAGCGTGTAAGTTCGCTCCCGAACGTGCTGATCCTTCATTAGCTTTCGTGGCAAGTGGTAGAGCGAGCACCACCCCACAAGCAGTTCACTGCTCACTGCTTGCTTACTCCTCCATTCCTTATAATAATAATGTTATTACGTGTTTGTTTTTTTCCTTAATTTCCTGTTTTGAGGCTTACAAAAATTAAAAATCATTTGCATTTCTTAACCCGAAAAAATCGACTATTTTTATAAAAATTAGACTGAAATTAGAAAATAAATATTATTTAGAAAAAGTTCAGGTTCAATTTGCTGATTCTGTAGATCAGCTTCTTCAATTTCTTGTTTAGAATCTCAACTGAGCAAACTAGTTTAAATGATGGATCTTCAACTTCATCGCTTGATAAAAAATCATTTTCTAAAAGCTCATTAATTTCGCGTCTATGTCTTTCGCATCTAATGCATTAAAATAACTTTTATATGAGCCGGTCATGTTGTAAAAAGTGGCATAAATGAGAACGTTGGGTTAAATAGTCTCATCAATAATTTTGAGAGGGAATAACACACCACGTTTTTGTGATGAACTCAAACTAATGATCGCCATCTGTTCAGAAACATTAATTTTCAAGGTGGAGAGGTGGGGAACTTTAGAACTAATTTCGTTCACTTTATAGACCGCCCTTTAGATGTCTCTGGGTCAGATGAATCAAATGTTCCCACTGCCCGGTTAAAACCCCACCCCGCTGGATATAGAGGAGGTGTTAGTTAATCCAAGAAGTGTCGAAATGAAACAAATCATAATTCGTATTACAATAATTATTTTTCTCTACGTCCATTTAATAATATACGTATTTCTGCTATACATTTAATGGACGAATGATATCGATTACACGCTTGTGGATTCCAGTTCGTAAATCCACTGACTGTCGATCAATCACATTCCTAAAATGTTCGGTAACCAAGGGAAGAATTGCATTCTGTTTGAAATGCATGCTTCTTTTGAAACGCGGTAGACAAGTGAATCGTTACGCAGTTTCATGTACGTAACGTAGACGTTGTTGTACTCAAATTTCTCGTTACATTAAGGATTGATCATTCAACAGAAAATCAATCATGAAGCCGGTGAGAGTGACAATGAAATTTGTACTCCACCTGAAATTCAGGAAATAGCGAATTCGACAACTTCACACTTATTGCCAGAAACATCAAGGAAGAATTATGAACAATCACACTTATTATGCACCTTATAGCACAACACTATTTGATGTAGGTAATCCTTATACTCGAGTTTTAAATAAAACAAAAGTAGTTCAAAATCAATTGTAATATTTCGAGGTCCTTGAAAATTACTCATAGAAATTACACTCGCTCGCATGCCGCTTGTATCGTAAACAGTAACTCGTGAATAATAGCAATCATTATGCGCTCGCTGTTGAATATACTATTATACAATCGTTGAAAAAAGTTGAAACATTTCGACCTAATACTTCTTGCACAATCTCCATTGAGCAAAGAACAGTGATTTCATGCACTTATTGTAAAACAAACTAGTTATAATTAGGGGACGGATTTTAATGAAATGTCATTTTTTTCTTTTCACTTTAAAACTGTATCTTTTAGTGTAATGCTAATTATATGTTATGACAAAAGGAAATGACCCATTTTTAAATAATTTTTTGTTGATTTCGACTAATAAGTCATTTTTTACATTTTACAGTAATGTTTAAAGCATTGGTTGCTGATTTCATCCATTTTAATATAATTTTAATGGTACTGGCTTCATATAATGTATACCAGATGCAACAAAGTTTCTCCACTGAATTCCTGAGTAACCTATTCGACTTCATCGCTCAGAAATTGTAATGTCAACAGTTGTAAGTATGCAGTCCAAAGTTCCTGTGACGCACTATTGTCAGTTTGGCCAATTTTGGGATAACTAAAGACAGATTTCCTGGTAATGAACAGTCCAAACCAAAAGCTTGCAAAATGAGTTCCATTGAAAGCAAGAATCCTCGATTACATTAGTAACATATCTAACAGCTTGACTTGTTCATCTGAACTGTTTTGGATCGATTTTTTCGACATTTTTCTTTGCTTTTAGGCCATTTTAAAAACATTTTAAGAGCATTCCATTGATCACGTTTGGCGATGTTGAAGATCATAAAAATTGGGCCCTACTTATCATGAACTTGCTCACAAAAGTTTAAAAAATTAACATCGAAGTATGGGCCAGCGGAGGCACGCTAAGCACGTGTGGAATGTGGTTGTGGTTGTGGTCTCAGTTACCAGTGTGTAGTGCGCGAAGTGCGGGCTGCCGTCGTCGTGCACCCACAGCAGCCCGTTCTTGTCGCGCGCGATCAGCTCCTCGTGGCGCCTCACGAAGTCCCGGAACGGCTGCACGTCCACCTCCGCGTACATGCCATCGGAGATCTGCGAAAAACAACATCGACAGGCGAAATCACTCTCTTGAAATTGCAGGTGACGCAACCGATTTCTAGGGAAACTGGGAAATGCTGGAAAATAATAATCGTTCGAAAACCAATCTTGGCAGATTTTCCTGAAGTTCGAAAGTCATCGAATCTCTCTGTTTGTACGTGATGATAATCCCTAATTATTTATTTACAGTAGCCCCCCTCCCCATTAGATCTAAAATAAATGCGCATCACCTGTTAATGTATACGCGTCGCCTCTGAATAAATGTAGTATAGATCGTTGACTTCGGGATGAGAGATGTTGGGTCGAGTTTCCAAGTCTTGGGAATATTCTAAATGGTAAACAATACCTTAGTTTTTAAAATGTCTAATTTACTAGTTTGGGGACTATTTTAAACTAAATATTTCCCAAAACTGAATTGATCATATCCATTTTCAATTTTTTACAGTTAATTTAATAACTGAATATATTTGTAATAATTCTTATATTATTATTATTATTATTATTATTATTATTATTAAATACAGGTAAATCATTTTCCATTATCTTTCAATGTTTTCCATTTCTCTCAAGACTTGAACATTTGACTTTATACATTTTTTAAATTGTTTTATTATCCTTGTTCGACAAGATATGTATTTCAAGGTGATTAAGGTTACATAATTTACATAACATTTTTGAACTATATTTCCATGTACATGAACACTGTATGAGAACAATAATGTTTGGAACTAACTACTGCTCTGGATACCGAAGAAGGATCCTTCAGAAAAATGCATAAATATTTTGAGTATACATTTTGAACCCTTTTTACAACTAATTACAGAGGATGTAGTAGGTCTTTAGAATATCTTGATTTGATTCGTGGAAAAGGATTGACTGATTAACCTAGAGTGTACAGGTGAGAGACTGGGAAAGATGAAAGGGAAGAGTACAAATGGGAAGAAAGTTTGAGAATCCAAGTTTTTAGAGGTTCTATAGATAATTGTTTTAAAATTTGGTAATTTCTGATATACCATGGTGCTTTTAGGGCTTCTTTTAAGAATTTGTTTTGTATTACCTCCAGTTTCCGAAGGTTGCTTTTAGCGGAACCTCCTCGTATTGGGCAGGCGTAGGGAAGTGAAGGTCGTATAACGTATTTGAATATTATTAATGCTGAGTCTATTGATAATTAAGATTTTCTATTAATGAATGGATACAATTTTAAAATTTTTATATGTGTTTTATTAGCTATTGATATTATGTGGTTTTTCCAGGTTAGTTTAGTGTCTATTTAAAATCCCAGATATTTTACAGGATTGTCATTTTGAAGCCATTTAACTTCAAGATTATTAATTATTAGGGGATAAGTAGGAAGAATCCGTTTTAAGGAGAAGATTTTAGCTTGTGATTTTTGATGATTTATTTTTATTTGCCAATCATTGAACCAAGAAATGAGAAGATTTAGGTAATCTTGGACATTATCTCTACCTAAAAGAAGATCACTATGAGTTGTAAATATTGCAGTGTCATCCGCAAAAAGGGCAATGTCTGAATGTAAGAGATAAGGCATATCAGAAATAAAAACATTGAAAACTGTAGGTGATAAAGGTGATCCTTGAGGAAGTTCAGCTTGTATATTGTGATCAGTTGAAAAAGTGTTATTTATTTGTACTTTGAATCTTCGATTAACTAGAAAGGATTTTATTATATTTTATAAGTAATTTGGAAATTCTATATATTGCAATTTAAAAAGTAGTCCATCATGCCAGATTTTATCGAACGGTTTTTTAATATTTAGAAATATAGCGAGGGCATGTCGTAATTTTTGGAAACTAGCGGCAATATAGTCTGTAAAGCGTAGCAATTGATGAGTAGTTGAAGGGTTGTGTCTAAAAGTAAATTGACCACTAGGAAAAATATTATTTTGATTCACAAATTTATTAACCCTCTTTCAAAAATTTGCTTAAAATTGTTCTTTCAAAAATTTTTGAAAAGTTTGGCATCAAACTAATTTTCCTAAAATTTTCAGGTATCAGTTTGATCTGTATTGGGTTTACAAATTGGTAGAATAAGTGCAGTTTTCCAGGAGTTTGGAAAGTAGTTGAATCTAAAACAAGCATTATATATAGCTGTTAGTGAACTCAGGATGGTATATGGTAAATGTTTAATTACAATATTAGGAATTAGATCTATGCCTGGAGATTTCTTGTTTTTAAGTTTGGAAATTATGTACTTGATTTCTGATGGAGAAATATATTTCAATCTTTCAGGAACTGTATGAAGTGGGTTAGGTAATGTTTTAACAATGTTTTGTGTAAAGGCATTATTATAAGGGAGATTGTTAGTAAAGGAGAGTTCAAAATTATTTGCCAGTACCTCTGCTTTTTCAGAATCTCTAGTTGCCAATGTTTTGTTATTATTATTTTTTATTGGGAGTAATTTTTTTTGTCATTTGTTATGTGTTTAATTGCAGACCAGAGAGCAGCAGAGTTAGGTTGAAGTTGAGATATATAGTTTTTAAGTTTAGATACCTGTGTTGTTCTAGTTTATGTTTAACTTTGTGGGTTCGGCGATTTAAGGTAGTTTTAATGTCAGGATCACGAGTGATTTGGCATTTTCTGCAAGTTACATGCTTGAGAGCTATTAAATTTGGTAGGAGAGGTGTAACAGATTTGTTAGGATTGTTACTGGACTTTGTTGACAATTTAATGGCTTGTAATATATTACTTTGTATTTTTAAAATTTCAGCATCTACTTCAGATGGAGAATGAAGAGTAGTAAGATATTTATTTGTTTGAAGCATACATATATGGCTGGAAATGATTCCAATTTATTTTTCCTTTAATTAATGAATTATTGTATTGCAGCTGTGGGATAATATTATTAAAGTTAATTAATACAGGATTGTGATCAGAGTTTAATGCTGGTATACAATATTGTGTAAAAGGTAAGTTTAAATTCTGTGTGACTGCAATGTCAAGAATATCTGGAGAAATGGCATAATTACATGAATAATGCGTAGGTAGAGAAAGGACATGTATTGTCCAGTTATTCGTTGTTGCTAGATTAAATATTGATATACCTTGAGGTATAGTTGTTTTACATCCCCATGCTTGGTGTCATGCATTTAAATCTTCAATTAGTAATAATTTATCATTTTTATTGAAGAGTAGTTCCAGTGTTTTGGGGTATTTTTTTATTTGGGGGTTTGTAAGCTGCTATTATTGTTAGTTTTATGATTTATACATTTATCGTTATTGCTATTATTTCAAGTCCTTGGAGGTAGGAACAAATATATGTGAATGCTTGATTTTTCTACTGATTATTATTGCCACCCCATCACCACCATGTAGAGAGGCTCTATCTTCTCTGTATGTGATATAATTTGGAATATTAACTTTTTTAGCATTGTTTAGGCGAGTTTCAGTAATGCACGCTATATCAATTTTTTGATCAATTGAAAATGTTTGAATTCATTAATATGATGGAATAGTCCGTCAGCATTCCAGTTTAATAATTTTATTTTATGGAGATCCGTTATTCATTATTCTTGGAAATACTTCTATTATTAATTGCTGAATTTGTGGAATTAATATATTTAAAATTTGAGTTGTTGTACTTGGGTTATATTTATTAAAATCTATTGTTGTAGGAGGAGATGGGACAAAGTTATTTTCAAGGTACATTTGAGAGTTTGTTGAAAGAGATGGTAGTTGGGGAAAGTCCTGTAAATTATTAATCACAGGAGGAGGAGCAGAGGAAGGAGGAGTTTTGGAATTTCTAGTTGATCTTTGGTATGATTGGTGTTGGTTTTGAGGGGACTTGAAAATAAAAAGAGTTTGAGTTGTATTTTCCTACATCCTCTACAATTGGCTGTGTGATTTCTGAAACAGTTCATACAATGAGAAAGAGAGTTTTTAGGTTTTTTACATTTACTGACAATTTTTACATAGAATTGGTTGCTTAACTGTTTCGAAACTTGACTTTTAAAACACTATTGAACAATTTTTATAATATAATTATCTCTCTACTTTGATCACTGTCAGTGAGCTTCACAGCACACATTTCCAAGGTTTCTACTGTTTTTCCAAATATTCTGTAAACGGTATTTACTGAGAATGTTTGACCTAACTCTAACTTAATTTCTTCATTAGTATAAGAAGTTGGTGTCATAAATAATGGCTGAAAGTGCTCATTTTGATGGATCTCTATAAGTAAAGTAATGAATGTTATTTACATCACAATGTTTTCTATATTTTCTGTAGTCTTATATTGTTTGGAATAATATAGAGGCATAGTCGTTTTTAATTTTAGTACTACATTCATTCTTTACTATTTGCTTAATTTCTAATATAAATGTATTGAAATTTCTTAACATACCTGAAGTTTTACTTATATTTATTGGAGGTATTTGGCCGGTTCTAAGTTAGAAGTAGTCCAAGACTCATCTCTAACTTCAAGTTCTTGATAGGGATTAGCAGTGGGGATATTATACACTGGTGCTGAGACTTGCAAACTGGCACTTTCTTCACTGCACATTCCTCGTTTACGTTTTGAACTATTATAATCAATTAAATGAGAACTTTCACTCGGCTGGGTTGCACTGTTTTGTGTATGGTTTTGTAATTCACTTGGAACATCCATTGGACTGTTTGTGTTATGGGACGGATTTTGCTGAAGTATTCGTTGAAGTTCCTGCGACTTTCGTCGTAGAAATACTATTTCATGTTCCAAAGCTTGGATATTAGCTTCTCCCTCGAATTACCCGCCGTTTGGATTTTCATTAATTTCTACCATTGACAGTACAAGTAACCCTAAAGTTTCAAGTAATCTCACTATCCACACTCATTCTGAAAGATAAATCGTTGCACTATGATAAATAACTACTAATCTAAGTTCTGAATACACTGGAGCGCGGCGGAACACCAGATCGAGAGCGCACCGACTGCCACAACACGAAGCGTTCGCCTCGGCGACTCGAATCGGACTGTCACTTCATATGATTTCGTTTGTGTGCCATTATTGACCATGACGCCTCTGAGCTAAATTCAAATCGCCTGTTTCTCGCCCAAGAAATACCTTCTTTCTCTGCTATATGAAAGGAGCGTAGCGAAATTTGCGTGGTCAGACGGAAGAGCGGGCCTGATGGCCCGAGTCTCGCCACGTAAAATAAGGCATATTCAATTCAATTCAATTCAATTATTCGCGTGTATTTACGAAACTATGATTTGGACTGCATTCTAGTTTGCACAACTATTTCTCTCGTAAGTTGTTCTACTTGCATACCAAATTCTAAAACGATAAAAAGAAATCAAATTTTTAGCGTATTTGTCACGTAATGGGGGGGGGTATTTTGAACTTTCTTATGATGCCGAAGCCTTTATTTGCGTGGATCTCCGAAACTATTATTTGGACTGAATTCTAGTTTGCACTACTATTTTTCTCGTAAGTTGTTCTACTTGCATTCCAAATTAAAAAACGACAAAAGGAAATTAAATTTTTCCCGTATTTGTCACGTAACGGGGGGGTATTTTGAACTTTCATATTATGCCGAAGCCTTTATTCGCGTGTATCTCCGAAAGTATTATTTAAAATGAATTCTAGTTTACACCACTAATTTTCTCGTAAGTTGTTCTACTTGCATACCAAATTCTAAGACGATAAAAAGAAATTTAATTTTTTGCCAATTTTTCACGTAATGGGAGGGTATTTTGAACTTTCTTATTATGCCGAAGCCTCTATTCGCGTGTATCTCCGAACGTATTATTTGGACTGAATTCTAGTTTGCACCACTATTTTTGTCGTAAGTTGTTCTACTTGCATGCCAATTTCTAAAACAATTAAAAGAAATTGAATTTTTCGCATATTTGTCACGTATTGGGGGGTATTTTGAACTTTCTTATAGGGCCGAAGCCGCGTGTATCTCCGAAAGTATTATTTGGACTGAATTCTAGTTTGCCCACTATTTTTCTCGTAACCACTGCTCTTGGTTTATGTATGGTCTTTGCGACGTGCTGCTGATAGTATTCGGCGCAATACAGTGTGCAAATCAAATGTTCCGGTAACTTTTTACCTTATTCACTTCATCTGCCTTGGAGAAGTTATCCCCATTTTATTTGCAATGGCCAGAAGTGCGGCATTCCTGACATGGCGTTTTTTGTATTCTGGTAAAAAATATCCCTTTCATTTTTCGATTCTCTACACAACCGGTCAAACTTGTCACTTCGCTCTTCCGTCATTCAAAGAGGCTTCTGCTTCCCATTTTTATAAATAATTATAATAATAAGTTTTCGTTGATCACCGTGAAATTATAAGCAGTATACAAACGTGTTGCACGTAATGGTCAATAGGAGTCGCCAGCTCCACCGTATAGAGGTCGCCAGTTTTGAGAAAGTTCGGGAGGGAGGAGCGCGTGAGCATGTCAGTAAAGCGGTTACACGTTGCCATGGGCAACCTCTACTAGCACGTTTACTGGCACCGTGGAAATCAGCGTTAAGTGCCCCAGGAAGATCTCTGCAGCGCGGCAACGAACAGACCAGCCGCCTCGTTCTTTTCTTTCATCTGTCTTGGCCTGTTCGCCTCCCCACCGTACGACCTCTTGCCGCGAACTGCCGTCGTTAATGCCCTTGCACTTGCTTCTTGCCCCCCCCCCTTGCCTCTTCCCTGCGCGTCCCGGAGGGAGAGGGTATCCCGCCTTTGTATATAAGGCAGTATAATATATACTGCCTTTACAAATAAAATAAAATACTAATATGACAGAACCTCCGAGTTTGTAATCCAAAATTGGAGTCAATTAACCTAATTTATATAAAACGCTTACCAGAACAAACATGGCGCAGTTGTTGTGGATGTCATCGAAAACGTCCGGTATGGCAAGTATTTGAAACTTGGAGTCATTGAGCCCGTATCGCTCCTTGAACAGGTGCCTCTTGGTCTGAACGAAGCGCCGGTACAGGTCGTGGAGGGAGATATTCTGATTGGTGAGTAGCCCGCCCCCGGCACGAAGCGCCGCGAGTGCGGCTTCCTGAAACCAAGGCCGACGTCACAGCAGACATCTTGATTTACGATTTCGTTTATTTTCCCACTTATTTGAAGTGGCCAATGACATTAAATTATTGTTACATCTCCTGCCTTATAAAACGGATCTTTTTAATTAATTCGCGAACGTCCTTCTCAATGGGGCTCGTGGCTTCAGAAATGTGTTTACCACTGTTAAAAAGATTCATTTTATAAGGCTGGAGGTGTAACAATGACCTAATGACATCGGCCACTTAAAACAATCGAAGGGTAGAAGGAAAGTGTTAGCTTTCTACTCATTTCTTTCTTTAATTAAAAGAGGCTTGTCCTAGATGGGTTATTACTTGCTCCTATTACCCAGAGATAGACAGCTTTTATAATTCCTAGATCAATGGGAGTTTTTAAACATCAAGGTCACTGAGTGTATCTAAACGCCATGGAATTTTAATTGACGCATGCGTCCCTTTCCATGATTACTTAAGTATACTGAAAATCAATTATTACTTACGTGACGCATTACGTGTAAGGAAGGAAGGAAGGAAGACTTTCCGATTTTGGGACACTACTTCAACAATGTATATACATGTAAAGATCTTGGTAAATATAGAACATTTCAATTACATCTGGTATTCGCCAGTAAGGCAATATCGGTCGTTGCACTCTGTGTTTATAGAGAATAGGTAGAGATTATATGTTTTAGAACTCCTAAACATTCACTTTCTTTAGTCTTGAGCATTAAGTATTGAAGGACATACAACAATATCTTTGAGGTTGTTGACTTCCCGTTTCAGGCATAAGTAGGATTTTTCTATTGTATTTTTTTAAATGTGCAAAGTAATAGTAACGAGGTGTAGAACAATTTGGAAGGATAATGAGAGACACCTGTTAGGAAGTATATTCAATGCTAATTCATACGTACGTGGAAAAGCTCACCACGAGATTTTTACAAGAGTTTCCCGTCTTGCAGGAGGCCTTTACCCTTTAAGGGGCACACTAAGCTCATTCCGTCATTCCATTATTCAATAGCAAGGGTCCAACAAATTTTAAATAATTACATCGAAAGCAGTTTTAATATTAAACACGTTTATTTTTTTATCTATGTTTTAATTTGATAGAAAAAAATATTACTACATACTCTATATAACTAATATTTACAAAATGTATAATTAACACGTAAGAGTAGGTAAAGAATGATCGAAAAGAAACAACTTCGCAAAGTTTACTCGAAACAAATGGTTGAAACTCTTGTTTAATAATGTTATATTTTGAAGTTCATTTATTGTAGTAGTGTGTGATAGCAGGGAATAAACAGGATTTTATTCAACAATGAGTCCTCAAGACAGTATTCGGAGCCATTATCTCCATCGAGTACCACAAACATTATTTTATCCATTACTTTTATGACAATAAGTGTAGATGAAATATTCAAGTATTGCCAGTACGCTTAAACCATTTCTTTTATTATTTTAATGGAATTGTTGTCAAGGTGAAGAAAAAATGTAGTTTTTTAGTATTGTAAATACTACGTTAGCTTGCTTTCTATTACTTGAACACACTTTTAACAAACTTGATGTAGTCCCTATAAAATCGTGTAGCAATAAAAATTGAAAAATAGACTATCTAGGTGCATGATCCCGCCGTCCATTCAGTGAGGTAAACGACCATAATACCCGAATTAGTTCCTTATAATCACAAAGTAGAACAACCCAACAAGCGATGTCAAGCTGAGGGAAGGAGGATAGGGGCGACCCTCACGCAGCTCTGCTAGTGCCATTGCGCTAGGCAGTAGTGCCATTGCGATCTTAGACCACAAGATCGCGGGTTCGACTTCCACCTCGAGCATGGTTGTGTTGTGTATGTCTGTATGTGTGTGTTGGCCTTCCACCTATCATCCTTATTTCATCTTCCATACCCCCAGGGTTGTTAACCCCGGGAGATAAAAATCGGATCTAGCTTCATGCTGATCCCATGATAAAATTACATGCACCTGCCTCTGAGATAATATTAGTGAGCCCTGGTAAATGCATGCATCGTCGTCCTCTATGTCGGCCTGTTCGCGAGCAAAGAAAAATCATTGTAAAAAAAAAAGCGCGCTTGCCTGGAAGGCCTCGGCGGCCATCATGGCGTAGAGCGGCACGTCGAGCAGGCAGCGCTGCGGGTGGCGGCCGAGGGCGCCGTGCAGGGCGTCGGTGAGCTCGGCCGCCAGCGCCTGGAAGGCGGAGGGCGCGACGCCGCCCGCCGCCGCCGCCGCCGCCCAGTGCGAGCACAGAAACGCCTCCTGCTGCTCCTTGGACAGCGGCCGCAGCGTGCACGGGTGGCAGCCCAGCGCCTCGCTCAGCTCCGCCTCCACCTGGCACGCGCAAGCGCCGCCTTCGTTGCGAAAAGGTTGCTCGATCGACTAACCAGTTCACCGCCAAGACGTCTGTGCCTGTGGCTTGGTGTCACAATGTGTCCATGTCGGTCTAAATTCGTGTGTGTCTCACTGTGACTCAGTAAGTTTTCGAGTGTCTGTGTCGACATTAAGAAAGACGGGAGAAAGGCAATCTGGAGGTGGCAGCCAGTCTGATTTATATTTTTAATAATAAAATAAATACAAAACCGACTGACAGGTATACACACACGGGGACATGCGTTTCTTATCTGTCCTCACCCCACCCCCCGACTGCATTTCAGCCGGCTTAGTAAAAATAAGTAGATATGTTTTATATATAACATTCGTGTTATTTCACAGGGATAAGGCCAATGGCTGTTGTTTCGCACCATGCATTACACCTAGGATTCCTTTGATACCTACCTGCAGCGCGGGACTAAAGAATCTTCTTGGAGCAGGTTCCCCCTTTGTGAGTTCCCTAACAGCTTGGTGTAATTCCATTTTCTCCTCCAAAGGCCACTCACGGTTAACAATATCTGAGTTGGGGAAAGTGATTCTCGTTAGGATGAAAAATTGACGGAGGGATTAATTTTTCCTGGTACCAATGAGGGTTATTTTACATGCAACTAGCATGGCGAGGCCACCGTCAAATTTTCCGCCCTTTGAAACTCCATGCACCTGAGCCGGGATCGAACCCGCACACAGTAAGAGGGGGGCAGAGGTCAATAAGTCAACGCACAGAGGTCGCATGTATCTCGTTTGTGTCTGTACGTCTGTGTTTATGGCTACGCACTGTAATGCACCTTTGTAGGCACCAGCACTCACGCCCGCGCCTGTGAGGCAGTAGAAGTGACGGAGGAGGTGACTGAGGTCTCGACCCGCCGGGGCCCGCCTGCCGTTGTGACTTAACAGGGACGTACGTAGCGGCGGGTTGTGATGAGAAAGATGGCTGAATGGCAGTCGGGAGGTGGAGCTAGATGAGATGCACTTGGAAGGCGAGAGTCGAAGTCGCGTGAGACGGGTTAGAAATTAGCGGTACAAGTAATGCGGGCTAGAAGATGAACGCGCATTCAAAGGACGGATAGAGGAAAGGACGTTTAAAAAATGGTGCATGTCTGTTTCTGTTGAACTCTCTGAATTTCTGAAAATTGTAAAAGTAAGACATAATGCTAGAAAGTATGAAATTGTGCATCACCTTCAGTTTTCTATGGTACTCCTCTCAGACCCCTCATCCCACGATAATAAATGGTGATCAAATGGGCCAAACTCTTACTATTTGGGGAACCACAAAATAGTATGTGTCTGTCCGAAGCTGTTAGTCTGTACCTGTTTTTCTATTACTGTCTCTCTACATCTGTCTCTTTTTCTCTCTTGTATATCCGAGTCCGACTGTCTGTGCCTGCCTGTTTCTGAACCTGTCTGATAATCTGTACCTGCCTCTAAACAACTGTCAGCCTGGCATGCCGTCTGTACATGTCAGCCTGAAGCAGTGTGTGCGTGCGTGCTCACCTCGGGGCGCGTGGCCACCCAGACGAGGGCGGCGCGTGACGCCTGCAGCAGCCGCAGGCAGCGCAGGAGCTTGTCCTTGTAGGCCGGGCACACCTCGTCCACGCCGTCCACCAGCACGTGCAGCGCGCCCGAGCGGCTGAGCGCGGCCTCCAGACAGCGCCGCCCCACCTCGCCCTCCGCGCCCGCCGCCACGCCCGCCGCCGCCGCCAGCAGCTCCGCCACGTGCGCCGCGCTCAGCTCTGCAACCACCGCCGCCCGCTCGTTCTTCTCATCCCCAGTAAACAGGGCAAGGAAGACTAATTGAAAGAGAAGCGAGCGAGACAAACAAGAAATGGAAAACGAGAAAGAACAGGAGAAAAGAAGGAAACTAGTGGTGCTAAAACAGCACGAACTTTCTCGTCCATACGCGAAAAGCACTCAAAGTTTCGAAAAGAGGAAAAACAAAAGAAGAAAAAAGAGGAAAAAAGAGTGAAAATGGGGAAAAGAGGAGAAAAGAGGAAAGAGGGGGAAAAGAGGAAAACAGAGGAGAAAGGAAGAATTTACCTGCGGGCGCGGGCCATCGCTGCAGCATGGCGGCGTGCGCCAGCGCCTGCACGAGCACCGTCCAGCTGCGCGGCGCCCGCAGGCGCGCCTCCTCCGCCACGCGGCGCAGGAACTGCGTCTTGCCCATGCCGGGCTCCCCGACCAGCAGCGCCACGCCCCCCGCCGCGCCCCACGCCGCC